GAGATCCCCCCGCAGGAGGGGCTCCAAAGCCAACCCAGGGTGCTCTGAGGAGGAAAGAGGCAGCCTGTGCCGGGAAGGCGGCTGGAGCTTGAGGCAGAGCTCTGACCTGGTGGTCCCTGAGCAACCTCCCAGCACGGAGAAACCCTTCAAGTGTTTGGAATGTGGGAAGAGCTTCAGGAAGAGCTTCAACCTCCTTACCCACCAGCACATCCACACCGGGGAACGTCCCTACACATGTGGGGAATGTGGGAAGAGCTTCAGGCAGAGCTCCAACCTTCGCACCCACCAGCGCATCCACACTGGAGAACAGCCCTACCTGTGTGGGGAATGTGGGAAGAGCTTCAACCAGAGCTCCAACCTCCGCACCCACCAGCACATCCACACCAGGAAACGGCCCTACCCGTGTAGGGAATGTGGGAAGAGCTTCAGGGACAGCTCCCACCTGATTGAGCACCAGCACATCCACACCGGGGAACGGCCCTACACCTGTAGGGAATGTGGGAAGAGCTTCAGCCAAAGCTCCACCCTCCTCAAACACCATGGTATGCACACCAGGGAACGGCCCTACACGTGTTGGGAATGTGGGAAGAGCTTCAGTGGTGGCTCTACCTTCCACATCCACCGGCGCATCCACACTGGGGAACGACCCTACAGGTGCTTGGAATGTGGGAAGAGGTTTAGGACCAGCTCAGATCTCCTCAGGCATGAGCAGACACACACGGATGAGAGGCCCTTCCGCTGCACCGACTGCAGGAAGGGCTTCAACCGGAACTCCCAGCTTGTCACCCATCAGCGCATCCACACCGGGGAGAGGCCCTACAAGTGTGGGGAGTGTGGGAAGAGTTTCACCGACAGCTCTGCCTTGACCAGACACCAACGGACCCACCAGTAAGGGAAGTCCTATGAGTGCCCCGACTGCGGGAAGAGCTTCGACTACTGCTCCAATTCCATCAGCCGTTGGAGGACCCCCAGATCCACAGGGAACAACGTTGAGCACAGACCTGCTGACCCACGTTCCAGGCGATCCGTAGTGTGCACAGACCTGGTGACCCACGTTCCAGATGATCCATGCTGGGTAGTGTATTGGGTCTGGATGGCCATGATTTGGTAGCGGGGGTGCTCCAGGGGTGGATTCCATGAGCAACTGCCAGAAACTTTCCCCTGTCCCAACCCCCCTGACAGTGAGGGTGACCCGGGGTCTTGTTAATCCAGCCCTTAGGTAGATTAGAGTGAAAGGACAGTGAATAATCAGTGTTTATAGATATATATATGTAGTGTTTAGTTTAGAACAGTTTGGTTGCCATGTAAAGCAGATTTGGAGCCATTTTGGTTCCTTTCTATAGTGATATGAAAGCATAAAAATAACATTTAAGGAAATGTATAAGGGAGAAGAAAGAAAGTATCAGAGTGGAAAGATGCAGAGCCCCCTCCCCCCCGAGGATAGTTTATCTATGTACATATATATATATATATATATATATATATATATATATATACATATATATATATGTATGTTGGGTCTAGTCTAGAACAATTTTGTTTCCATGTAGAGTAGGTTTGGGGCAGTTTTGACTCCTGTCTATAGTGATATAAAACCATAAAAATAACACTTCTCCTCTCTGGCTCCAAGCCCAGCCTGTCCCCTCTAGGGGTGGGTGTTCCCCCCTCTGCCCCAGGCGGTTCCATTGCCCATGGGCAGTAAAGCCTCCGCTACTTCTGCAACTGGAGAGTGTTGGAGCCATGGACCATTAACATTCCAGTCTCTCCCAACTCTGCATCCCAAAAGTCGAGAGGGATCAATCTATCACCTCAAAGTGGATCAATCCCACTGAAAACGGCTCGATCCCACCCCAAACTGGCTCGATCCCACCCCAAAATTCCTGTTTCTTTTTATTTCTATGTAATTCTGGGGCTGCTGGTTCCACCCGTCAGCTCTCCACAGGCTGAGGTTTGGCCTTGCACTTTTGCCTTTGCTGGATTTTTTCATCAAATATTTCTCTCTGAAAAGAAAAATTTGTAAGGTTCCCGATAATCTGGACATCTTTAGACCATCTGGAAAAATTACAACTTGCAGTGTTGGAACGAAACATTTTCCACGTTTAATCATTTGTTCCCATCCCTCCCAGGAGGGAGGACACTGAACTCTTCCACAGAAACAGAAAACTAGTAACAAAAATTCAGACTACTGAAAATGAAAAATACCTTTTGCTCACAGGTGGCCCTTTCATGTCCTTCTCTTCTGCCTTCTTACAATCGATGTTATCCGTGGCAGCAGTTGCCTAGATGATGGCCAAAAAAAGCATTGAATTAATTTAGAATCATTCCAGAAAACTGAATCACAACTGGGGATTTGAAACTGCCTCAGGGGAGCACATTTGGAGAAAAGGGTTCCTCAGTCACTTAGAAAATTTGGCTGAAACTGCTCGTTGTGGACCTGAAACTCTTAAATAAATAATACCAACTCATCCTGTCCCCTTCCCAGGGGAGTATTTTTATCCCCAGATTAAGATATTCTCCAGTGACTTTGTCTCTACACAAATCAATGTTCTCCTGGGAAAAGCACCAAGTCTATGAGACAAGTAACTGTAAAAACAACCAACCCACCCACCCCCCACACAAAGAAAAGCCCAAGAAAACCCCAAGAACTTGCCAAACTAAATAAACCCCTGAAAACCAGGTTTTGAAGCATTTCAGAAGTAATTAAAATAAATGAGACATCAGTCCTTCTGCCTTCAACAAACTGCCTCAAGCTTCTCCTTTCAGTGCTTAAAAATCAGCATTTCAGTGACTCAGGCTGTAGACCGGTATGAACTTTGCTGCCCAGCTCAGCCACCAGTGCCCCTAAAGGTCCTCTCAAAAAAAGGGAATTAAGGGGGTCCTGGGTGGGCTCTGGATGTATTTAGGGGGTCCTTGAGGGCCTGTGGGGTGGTCCTGGCACCTTTTCGAGTGAACTGGGTGCCCACTGAGGGGCAGGTGCCCTCTCAAAGGCCCCCAAGCAGGTTGACACAGGGGAAGGCAGGAGGGGTCCCCATTCCTGATCCATTCTGGGGCCGGTTTTGCCCTCCCCGACCTCAACTCCTCCCTGAATCACATCTATCATATGACATCACATCCTCCTCTGTGACATTGCATCTCATTTATAACATGATGTCACACCTCTCTCGTAAAATCACAGCTCCCTTTGACATCACATTCTCCCTGTGACATCACATTCTCCTCTGTGACATTGCATGTCTCCTATAACATCACATCCTCCTCTGTGACAT